GATATGAGAAGGGGAGAATATGAGATGCGGTGATATGAGAAGGGGAGAATATGAGATGCGGTGATATGAGAAGCGGAGAATACGAGATGCGGTGATATGAGAAGCGGAGAATATGAGATGCGGTGATATGAGAAGGGGAGAATATGAGATGCGGTGATATGAGAAGGGGAGAATATGAGATGCGGTGATATGAGAAGGGGAGATTACGAGATGCGGTGATATGAGAAGCGGAGAATATGAGATGCGGTGATATGAGAAGGGGAGAATATGAGATGCGGTGATATGAGAAGGGGAGAATACGAGATGCGGTGATATGAGAAGGGGAGAATATGAGATGCGGTGATATGAGAAGGGGAGCTTTCGAGATGCGGTGATATGAGAAGCGGAGAATATGAGATGCGGTGATATGAGAAGGGGAGAATATGAGATGCGGTGATATGAGAAGGGGAGAATATGAGATGCGGTGATATGAGAAGGGGAGAATATGAGATGCGGTGATATGCGAAGGGGAGAATATGAGATGCGGTGATATGAGAAGGGGAGAATATGAGATGCGGTGATATGAGAAGGGGAGAATATGAGATGCGGTGATATGAGAAGGGGAGAATATGAGATGCGGTGATATGAGAAGGAGAGAATATGAGATGCGGTGATATGAGAAGGGGAGAATATGAGATGCGGTGATATGAGAAGGGGAGAATATGAGATGCGGTGATATGAGAAGGGGAGAATATGAGATGCGGTGATATGAGAAGGGGAGAATATGAGATGCGGTGATATGAGAAGGGGGGATTTCGAGATGCGGTGATATGAGAAGGGGAGAATATGAGATGCGGTGATATGAGAAGCGGAGAATATGAGATGCGGTGATATGAGAAGGGGAGAATATGAGATGCGGTAATATGAGAAGGGGGGATTTCGAGATGCGGTGATATGAGAAGGGGAGAATATTAGATGCGGTCATATGAGAAGGGGAGAATATGAGATGCGGTGATATGAGAAGCGGAGAATACGGGATGCGGTGATATGAGAAGCGGAGAATATGAGATGCGGTGATATGAGAAGGGGAGAATATGAGATGCGGTGATATGAGAAGGGGAGAATATGAGATGCGGTGATATGAGAAGGGGAGAATATGAGATGCATATGAGAAGGGGAGAATATGAGATGCGGTGATATGAGAAGGGGAGAATATGAGATGCGGTGATATGAGAAGGGGGGATTTCGAGATGCGGTGATATGAGAAGGGGAGAATATGAGATGCGGTGATATGAGAAGGGGAGAATATGAGATGCGGTGATATGAGAAGCGGAGAATACGAGATGCGGTGATATGAGAAGCGGAGAATATGAGATGCGGTGATATGAGAAGGGGAGAATATGAGATGCGGTGATATGAGAAGGGGAGAATATGAGATGCGGTGATATGAGAAGGGGAGATTACGAGATGCGGTGATATGAGAAGCGGAGAATATGAGATGCGGTGATATGAGAAGGGGAGAATATGAGATGCGGTGATATGAGAAGGGGAGAATATGAGATGCGGTGATATGAGAAGGGGAGAATATGAGATGCGGTGATATGAGAAGGGGAGCTTTCGAGATGCGGTGATATGAGAAGCGGAGAATATGAGATGCGGTGATATGAGAAGGGGAGAATATGAGATGCGGTGATATGAGAAGGGGAGAATATGAGATGCGGTGATATGAGAAGCGGAGAATACGAGATGCGGTGATATGAGAAGCGGAGAATATGAGATGCGGTGATATGAGAAGGGGAGAATATGAGATGCGGTGATATGAGAAGGGGAGAATATGAGATGCGGTGATATGAGAAGGGGGGATTTCGAGATGCGGTGATATGAGAAGGGGAGAATATGAGATGCGGTGATATGAGAAGCGGAGAATATGAGATGCGGTGATATGAGAAGGGGAGAATATGAGATGCGGTAATATGAGAAGGGGGGATTTCGAGATGCGGTGATATGAGAAGGGGAGAATATGAGATGCGGTGATATGAGAAGGGGAGAATATGAGATGCGGTGATATGAGAAGCGGAGAATACGAGATGCGGTGATATGAGAAGCGGAGAATATGAGATGTGGTGATATGAGAAGGGGAGAATATGAGATGCGGTGATATGAGAAGGGGAGAATATGAGATGCGGTGATATGAGAAGCGGAGAATACGAGATGCGGTGATATGAGAAGCGGAGAATATGAGATGCGGTGATATGAGAAGGGGAGAATATGAGATGCGGTGATATGAGAAGGGGAGAATATGAGATGCGGTGATATGAGAAGGGGGGATTTCGAGATGCGGTGATATGAGAAGGGGAGAATATGAGATGCGGTGATATGAGAAGCGGAGAATATGAGATGCGGTGATATGAGAAGGGGAGAATATGAGATGCGGTAATATGAGAAGGGGGGATTTCGAGATGCGGTGATATGAGAAGGGGAGAATATGAGATGCGGTGATATGAGAAGCGGAGAATATGAGATGCGGTGATATGAGAAGGGGAGAATATGAGATGCGGTGATATGAGAAGCGGAGAATACGAGATGCGGTGATATGAGAAGGGGAGAATATGAGATGCGGTGATATGAGAAGGGGAGAATATGAGATGCGGTGATATGAGAAGGGGAGAATATGAGATGCGGTGATATGAGAAGGGGAGAATATGAGATGCGGTGATATGAGAAGGGGAGAATATGAGATGCGGTGATATGAGAAGCGGAGAATACGAGATGCGGTGATATGAGAAGCGGAGAATATGAGATGCGGTGATATGAGAAGGGGGGATTTCGAGATGCGGTGATATGAGAAGGGGAGAATATGAGATGCGGTGATATGAGAAGGGGAGAATATGAGATGCGGTGATATGAGAAGCGGAGAATACGAGATGCGGTGATATGAGAAGCGGAGAATATGAGATGCGGTGATATGAGAAGGGGAGAATATGAGATGCGGTGATATGAGAAGGGGAGAATATGAGATGCGGTGATATGAGAAGGGGAGATTACGAGATGCGGTGATATGAGAAGGGGAGAATATGAGATGCGGTGATATGAGAAGGGGAGAATATGAGATGCGGTGATATGAGAAGGGGAGAATATGAGATGCGGTGATATGAGAAGGGGAGAATATGAGATGCGGTGATATGAGAAGGCGAGCTTTCGAGATGCGGTGATATGAGAAGCGGAGAATATGAGATGCGGTGATATGAGAAGGGGAGAATATGAGATGCGGTGATATGAGAAGGGGAGAATATGAGATGCGGTGATATGAGAAGGGGAGAATATGAGATGCGGTGATATGCGAAGGGGAGAATATGAGATGCGGTGATATGAGAAGGGGAGAATATGAGATGCGGTGATATGAGAAGGGGAGAATATGAGATGCGGTGATATGAGAAGGGGAGAATATGAGATGCGGTGATATGAGAAGGGGAGAATATGAGATGCGGTGATATGAGAAGGGGAGAATATGAGATGCGGTGATATGAGAAGGGGAGAATATGAGATGCGGTGATATGAGAAGGGGAGAATATGAGATGCGGTGATATGAGAAGGGGAGAATATGAGATGCGGTGATATGAGAAGGGGAGAATATGAGATGCGGTGATATGAGAAGGGGGGATTTCGAGATGCGGTGATATGAGAAGGGGAGAATATGAGATGCGGTGATATGAGAAGCGGAGAATATGAGATGCGGTGATATGAGAAGGGGAGAATATGAGATGCGGTAATATGAGAAGGGGGGATTTCGAGATGCGGTGATATGAGAAGGGGAGAATATGAGATGCGGTGATATGAGAAGGGGAGAATATGAGATGCGGTGATATGAGAAGCGGAGAATACGAGATGCGGTGATATGAGAAGGGGAGAATATGAGATGCGGTGATATGAGAAGGGGAGAATATGAGATGCGGTGATATGAGAAGGGGAGAATATGAGATGCGGTGATATGAGAAGGGGAGAATATGAGATGCATATGAGAAGGGGAGAATATGAGATGCGGTGATATGAGAAGGGGAGAATATGAGATGCGGTGATATGAGAAGGGGGGATTTCGAGATGCGGTGATATGAGAAGGGGAGAATATGAGATGCGGTGATATGAGAAGGGGAGAATATGAGATGCGGTGATATGAGAAGCGGAGAATACGAGATGCGGTGATATGAGAAGCGGAGAATATGAGATGCGGTGATATGAGAAGGGGAGAATATGAGATGCGGTGATATGAGAAGGGGAGAATATGAGATGCGGTGATATGAGAAGGGGAGATTACGAGATGCGGTGATATGAGAAGCGGAGAATATGAGATGCGGTGATATGAGAAGGGGAGAATATGAGATGCGGTGATATGAGAAGGGGAGAATATGAGATGCGGTGATATGAGAAGGGGAGCTTTCGAGATGCGGTGATATGAGAAGCGGAGAATATGAGATGCGGTGATATGAGAAGGGGAGAATATGAGATGCGGTGATATGAGAAGGGGAGAATATGAGATGCGGTGATATGAGAAGCGGAGAATACGAGATGCGGTGATATGAGAAGCGGAGAATATGAGATGCGGTGATATGAGAAGGGGAGAATATGAGATGCGGTGATATGAGAAGCGGAGAATACGGGATGCGGTGATATGAGAAGGGGAGAATATGAGATGCGGTGATATGAGAAGGGGAGATTACGAGATGCGGTGATATGAGAAGCGGAGATTACGAGATGCGGTGATATGAGAAGCGGAGATTATGAGATGCGGTGATATGAGAAGGGGAGAATATGAGATGCGGTGATATGAGAAGGGGAGAATATGAGATGCGGTGATATGAGAAGCGGAGAATACGAGATGCGGTGATATGAGAAGCGGAGAATACGAGATGCGGTGATATGAGAAGCGGAGAATATGAGATGCGGTGATATGAGAAGGGGAGAATATGAGATGCGGTGATATGAGAAGGGGAGAATATGAGATGCGGTGATATGAGAAGGGGAGATTACGAGATGCGGTGATATGAGAAGCGGAGAATATGAGATGCGGTGATATGAGAAGGGGAGAATATGAGATGCGGTGATATGAGAAGGGGAGAATATGAGATGCGGTGATATGAGAAGGGGAGAATATGAGATGCGGTGATATGAGAAGGGGAGCTTTCGAGATGCGGTGATATGAGAAGGGGAGAATATGAGATGCGGTGATATGAGAAGGGGAGCTTTCGAGATGCGGTGATATGAGGCAGGGGGCTGTGGATGCATGTGGAGGCAGGGGGCTGTGGATGCATGTGGAGGCAGGGGGCTGTGGATGCATGTGGAGGCAGGGGACTGTGGATGCATGTGGAGGCAGGGGACTGTGGATGCATGTGGAGGCAGGGGACTGTGGATGCATGTGGAGGCAGGGGGCTGTGGATGCATGTGGAGGCAGGGGGCTGTGGATGCATGTGGAGGCAGGGGGCTGTGGATGCATGTGGAGGCAGGGGGCTGTGGATGCATGTGGAGGCAGGGGGCTGTGGATGCATGTGGAAGCAGGGGACTGTGGATGCATGTGGAGGCAGGGGGCTGTGGATGCATGTGGAGGCAGGGGACTGTGGATGCATGTGGAGGCAGGGGACTGTGGATGCATGTGGAGGCAGGGGGCTGTGGATGCATGTGGAGGCAGGGGACTGTGGATGCATGTGGAGGCAGGGGGCTGTGGATGCATGTGGAGGCAGGGGGCTGTGGATGCATGTGGAGGCAGGGGGCTGTGGATGCATGTGGAGGCAGGGGGCTGTGGATGCATGTGGAGGCAGGGGGCTGTGGATGCATGTGGAGGCAGGGGGCTGTGGATGCATGTGGAGGCAGGGGGCTGTGGATGCATGTGGAGGCAGGGGGCTGTGGATGCATGTGGAGGCAGGGGGCTGTGGATGCATGTGGAGGCAGGGGGCTGTGGATGCATGTGGAGGCAGGGGGCTGTGGATGCATGTGGAGGCAGGGGGCTGTGGATGCATGTGGAGGCAGGGGGCTGTGGATGCATGTGGAGGCAGGGGGCTGTGGATGCATGTGGAGGCAGGGGGCTGTGGATGCATGTGGAGGCAGGGGGCTGTGGATGCATGTGGAGGCAGGGGGCTGTGGATGCATGTGGAGGCAGGGGGCTGTGGATGCATGTGGAGGCAGGGGGCTGTGGATGCATGTGGAGGCAGGGGGCTGTGGATGCATGTGGAGGCAGGGGGCTGTGGATGCATGTGGAGGCAGGGGGCTGTGGATGCATGTGGAGGCAGGGGGCTGTGGATGCATGTGGAGGCAGGGGGCTGTGGATGCATGTGGAGGCAGGGGGCTGTGGATGCATGTGGAGGCAGGGGGCTGTGGATGCATGTGGAGGCAGGGGGCTGTGGATGCATGTGGAGGCAGGGGGCTGTGGATGCATGTGGAGGCAGGGGGCTGTGGATGCATGTGGAGGCAGGGGGCTGTGGATGCATGTGGAGGCAGGGGGCTGTGGATGCATGTGGAGGCAGGGGGCTGTGGATGCATGTGGAGGCAGGGGGCTGTGGATGCATGTGGAGGCAGGGGGCTGTGGATGCATGTGGAGGCAGGGGGCTGTGGATGCATGTGGAGGCAGGGGGCTGTGGATGCATGTGGAGGCAGGGGGCTGTGGATGCATGTGGAGGCAGGGGGCTGTGGATGCATGTGGAGGCAGGGGGCTGTGGATGCATGTGGAGGCAGGGGGCTGTGGATGCATGTGGAGGCAGGGGGCTGTGGATGCATGTGGAGGCAGGGGGCTGTGGATGCATGTGGAGGCAGGGGGCTGTGGATGCATGTGGAGGCAGGGGGCTGTGGATGCATGTGGAGGCAGGGGGCTGTGGATGCATGTGGAGGCAGGGGGCTGTGGATGCATGTGGAGGCAGGGGGCTGTGGATGCATGTGGAGGCAGGGGGCTGTGGATGCATGTGGAGGCAGGGGGCTGTGGATGCATGTGGAGGCAGGGGGCTGTGGATGCATGTGGAGGCAGGGGGCTGTGGATGCATGTGGAGGCAGGGGGCTGTGGATGCATGTGGAGGCAGGGGGCTGTGGATGCATGTGGAGGCAGGGGGCTGTGGATGCATGTGGAGGCAGGGGGCTGTGGATGCATGTGGAGGCAGGGGGCTGTGGATGCATGTGGAGGCAGGGGGCTGTGGATGCATGTGGAGGCAGGGGGCTGTGGATGCATGTGGAGGCAGGGGGCTGTGGATGCATGTGGAGGCAGGGGGCTGTGGATGCATGTGGAGGCAGGGGGCTGTGGATGCATGTGGAGGCAGGGGGCTGTGGATGCATGTGGAGGCAGGGGGCTGTGGATGCATGTGGAGGCAGGGGGCTGTGGATGCATGTGGAGGCAGGGGGCTGTGGATGCATGTGGAGGCAGGGGGCTGTGGATGCATGTGGAGGCAGGGGGCTGTGGATGCATGTGGAGGCAGGGGGCTGTGGATGCATGTGGAGGCAGGGGGCTGTGGATGCATGTGGAGGCAGGGGGCTGTGGATGCATGTGGAGGCAGGGGGCTGTGGATGCATGTGGAGGCAGGGGGCTGTGGATGCATGTGGAGGCAGGGGGCTGTGGATGCATGTGGAGGCAGGGGGCTGTGGATGCATGTGGAGGCAGGGGGCTGTGGATGCATGTGGAGGCAGGGGGCTGTGGATGCATGTGGAGGCAGGGGGCTGTGGATGCATGTGGAGGCAGGGGGCTGTGGATGCATGTGGAGGCAGGGGGCTGTGGATGCATGTGGAGGCAGGGGGCTGTGGATGCATGTGGAGGCAGGGGGCTGTGGATGCATGTGGAGGCAGGGGGCTGTGGATGCATGTGGAGGCAGGGGGCTGTGGATGCATGTGGAGGCAGGGGGCTGTGGATGCATGTGGAGGCAGGGGGCTGTGGATGCATGTGGAGGCAGGGGGCTGTGGATGCATGTGGAGGCAGGGGGCTGTGGATGCATGTGGAGGCAGGGGGCTGTGGATGCATGTGGAGGCAGGGGGCTGTGGATGCATGTGGAGGCAGGGGGCTGTGGATGCATGTGGAGGCAGGGGGCTGTGGATGCATGTGGAGGCAGGGGGCTGTGGATGCATGTGGAGGCAGGGGGCTGTGGATGCATGTGGAGGCAGGGGGCTGTGGATGCATGTGGAGGCAGGGGGCTGTGGATGCATGTGGAGGCAGGGGGCTGTGGATGCATGTGGAGGCAGGGGGCTGTGGATGCATGTGGAGGCAGGGGGCTGTGGATGCATGTGGAGGCAGGGGGCTGTGGATGCATGTGGAGGCAGGGGGCTGTGGATGCATGTGGAGGCAGGGGGCTGTGGATGCATGTGGAGGCAGGGGGCTGTGGATGCATGTGGAGGCAGGGGGCTGTGGATGCATGTGGAGGCAGGGGGCTGTGGATGCATGTGGAGGCAGGGGGCTGTGGATGCATGTGGAGGCAGGGGGCTGTGGATGCATGTGGAGGCAGGGGGCTGTGGATGCATGTGGAGGCAGGGGGCTGTGGATGCATGTGGAGGCAGGGGGCTGTGGATGCATGTGGAGGCAGGGGGCTGTGGATGCATGTGGAGGCAGGGGGCTGTGGATGCATGTGGAGGCAGGGGGCTGTGGATGCATGTGGAGGCAGGGGGCTGTGGATGCATGTGGAGGCAGGGGGCTGTGGATGCATGTGGAGGCAGGGGGCTGTGGATGCATGTGGAGGCAGGGGGCTGTGGATGCATGTGGAGGCAGGGGGCTGTGGATGCATGTGGAGGCAGGGGGCTGTGGATGCATGTGGAGGCAGGGGGCTGTGGATGCATGTGGAGGCAGGGGGCTGTGGATGCATGTGGAGGCAGGGGGCTGTGGATGCATGTGGAGGCAGGGGGCTGTGGATGCATGTGGAGGCAGGGGGCTGTGGATGCATGTGGAGGCAGGGGGCTGTGGATGCATGTGGAGGCAGGGGGCTGTGGATGCATGTGGAGGCAGGGGGCTGTGGATGCATGTGGAGGCAGGGGGCTGTGGATGCATGTGGAGGCAGGGGGCTGTGGATGCATGTGGAGGCAGGGGGCTGTGGATGCATGTGGAGGCAGGGGGCTGTGGATGCATGTGGAGGCAGGGGGCTGTGGATGCATGTGGAGGCAGGGGGCTGTGGATGCATGTGGAGGCAGGGGGCTGTGGATGCATGTGGAGGCAGGGGGCTGTGGATGCATGTGGAGGCAGGGGGCTGTGGATGCATGTGGAGGCAGGGGGCTGTGGATGCATGTGGAGGCAGGGGGCTGTGGATGCATGTGGAGGCAGGGGGCTGTGGATGCATGTGGAGGCAGGGGGCTGTGGATGCATGTGGAGGCAGGGGGCTGTGGATGCATGTGGAGGCAGGGGGCTGTGGATGCATGTGGAGGCAGGGGGCTGTGGATGCATGTGGAGGCAGGGGGCTGTGGATGCATGTGGAGGCAGGGGGCTGTGGATGCATGTGGAGGCAGGGGGCTGTGGATGCATGTGGAGGCAGGGGGCTGTGGATGCATGTGGAGGCAGGGGGCTGTGGATGCATGTGGAGGCAGGGGGCTGTGGATGCATGTGGAGGCAGGGGGCTGTGGATGCATGTGGAGGCAGGGGGCTGTGGATGCATGTGGAGGCAGGGGGCTGTGGATGCATGTGGAGGCAGGGGGCTGTGGATGCATGTGGAGGCAGGGGGCTGTGGATGCATGTGGAGGCAGGGGGCTGTGGATGCATGTGGAGGCAGGGGGCTGTGGATGCATGTGGAGGCAGGGGGCTGTGGATGCATGTGGAGGCAGGGGGCTGTGGATGCATGTGGAGGCAGGGGGCTGTGGATGCATGTGGAGGCAGGGGGCTGTGGATGCATGTGGAGGCAGGGGGCTGTGGATGCATGTGGAGGCAGGGGGCTGTGGATGCATGTGGAGGCAGGGGGCTGTGGATGCATGTGGAGGCAGGGGGCTGTGGATGCATGTGGAGGCAGGGGGCTGTGGATGCATGTGGAGGCAGGGGGCTGTGGATGCATGTGGAGGCAGGGGGCTGTGGATGCATGTGGAGGCAGGGGGCTGTGGATGCATGTGGAGGCAGGGGGCTGTGGATGCATGTGGAGGCAGGGGGCTGTGGATGCATGTGGAGGCAGGGGGCTGTGGATGCATGTGGAGGCAGGGGGCTGTGGATGCATGTGGAGGCAGGGGGCTGTGGATGCATGTGGAGGCAGGGGGCTGTGGATGCATGTGGAGGCAGGGGGCTGTGGATGCATGTGGAGGCAGGGGGCTGTGGATGCATGTGGAGGCAGGGGGCTGTGGATGCATGTGGAGGCAGGGGGCTGTGGATGCATGTGGAGGCAGGGGGCTGTGGATGCATGTGGAGGCAGGGGGCTGTGGATGCATGTGGAGGCAGGGGGCTGTGGATGCATGTGGAGGCAGGGGGCTGTGGATGCATGTGGAGGCAGGGGGCTGTGGATGCATGTGGAGGCAGGGGGCTGTGGATGCATGTGGAGGCAGGGGGCTGTGGATGCATGTGGAGGCAGGGGGCTGTGGATGCATGTGGAGGCAGGGGCTGTGGATGCATGTGGAGGCAGGGGGCTGTGGATGCATGTGGAGGCAGGGGGCTGTGGATGCATGTGGAGGCAGGGGCTGTGGATGCATGTGGAGGCAGGGGGCTGTGGATGCATGTGGAGGCAGGGGGCTGTGGATGCATGTGGAGGCAGGGGGCTGTGGATGCATGTGGAGGCAGGGGGCTGTGGATGCATGTGGAGGCAGGGGGCTGTGGATGCATGTGGAGGCAGGGGGCTGTGGATGCATGTGGAGGCAGGGGGCTGTGGATGCATGTGGAGGCAGGGGGCTGTGGATGCATGTGGAGGCAGGGGGCTGTGGATGCATGTGGAGGCAGGGGGCTGTGGATGCATGTGGAGGCAGGGGGCTGTGGATGCATGTGGAGGCAGGGGGCTGTGGATGCATGTGGAGGCAGGGGGCTGTGGATGCATGTGGAGGCAGGGGGCTGTGGATGCATGTGGAGGCAGGGGGCTGTGGATGCATGTGGAGGCAGGGGGCTGTGGATGCATGTGGAGGCAGGGGGCTGTGGATGCATGTGGAGGCAGGGGGCTGTGGATGCATGTGGAGGCAGGGGGCTGTGGATGCATGTGGAGGCAGGGGGCTGTGGATGCATGTGGAGGCAGGGGGCTGTGGATGCATGTGGAGGCAGGGGGCTGTGGATGCATGTGGAGGCAGGGGGCTGTGGATGCATGTGGAGGCAGGGGGCTGTGGATGCATGTGGAGGCAGGGGGCTGTGGATGCATGTGGAGGCAGGGGGCTGTGGATGCATGTGGAGGCAGGGGGCTGTGGATGCATGTGGAGGCAGGGGGCTGTGGATGCATGTGGAGGCAGGGGGCTGTGGATGCATGTGGAGGCAGGGGGCTGTGGATGCATGTGGAGGCAGGGGGCTGTGGATGCATGTGGAGGCAGGGGGCTGTGGATGCATGTGGAGGCAGGGGGCTGTGGATGCATGTGGAGGCAGGGGGCTGTGGATGCATGTGGAGGCAGGGGGCTGTGGATGCATGTGGAGGCAGGGGGCTGTGGATGCATGTGGAGGCAGGGGGCTGTGGATGCATGTGGAGGCAGGGGGCTGTGGATGCATGTGGAGGCAGGGGGCTGTGGATGCATGTGGAGGCAGGGGGCTGTGGATGCATGTGGAGGCAGGGGGCTGTGGATGCATGTGGAGGCAGGGGGCTGTGGATGCATGTGGAGGCAGGGGGCTGTGGATGCATGTGGAGGCAGGGGGCTGTGGATGCATGTGGAGGCAGGGGGCTGTGGATGCATGTGGAGGCAGGGGGCTGTGGATGCATGTGGAGGCAGGGGGCTGTGGATGCATGTGGAGGCAGGGGGCTGTGGATGCATGTGGAGGCAGGGGGCTGTGGATGCATGTGGAGGCAGGGGGCTGTGGATGCATGTGGAGGCAGGGGGCTGTGGATGCATGTGGAGGCAGGGGGCTGTGGATGCATGTGGAGGCAGGGGGCTGTGGATGCATGTGGAGGCAGGGGGCTGTGGATGCATGTGGAGGCAGGGGGCTGTGGATGCATGTGGAGGCAGGGGGCTGTGGATGCATGTGGAGGCAGGGGGCTGTGGATGCATGTGGAGGCAGGGGGCTGTGGATGCATGTGGAGGCAGGGGGCTGTGGATGCATGTGGAGGCAGGGGGCTGTGGATGCATGTGGAGGCAGGGGGCTGTGGATGCATGTGGAGGCAGGGGGCTGTGGATGCATGTGGAGGCAGGGGGCTGTGGATGCATGTGGAGGCAGGGGGCTGTGGATGCATGTGGAGGCAGGGGGCTGTGGATGCATGTGGAGGCAGGGGGCTGTGGATGCATGTGGAGGCAGGGGGCTGTGGATGCATGTGGAGGCAGGGGGCTGTGGATGCATGTGGAGGCAGGGGGCTGTGGATGCATGTGGAGGCAGGGGGCTGTGGATGCATGTGGAGGCAGGGGGCTGTGGATGCATGTGGAGGCAGGGGGCTGTGGATGCATGTGGAGGCAGGGGGCTGTGGATGCATGTGGAGGCAGGGGGCTGTGGATGCATGTGGAGGCAGGGGGCTGTGGATGCATGTGGAGGCAGGGGGCTGTGGATGCATGTGGAGGCAGGGGGCTGTGGATGCATGTGGAGGCAGGGGGCTGTGGATGCATGTGGAGGCAGGGGGCTGTGGATGCATGTGGAGGCAGGGGGCTGTGGATGCATGTGGAGGCAGGGGGCTGTGGATGCATGTGGAGGCAGGGGGCTGTGGATGCATGTGGAGGCAGGGGGCTGTGGATGCATGTGGAGGCAGGGGGCTGTGGATGCATGTGGAGGCAGGGGGCTGTGGATGCATGTGGAGGCAGGGGGCTGTGGATGCATGTGGAGGCAGGGGGCTGTGGATGCATGTGGAGGCAGGGGGCTGTGGATGCATGTGGAGGCAGGGGGCTGTGGATGCATGTGGAGGCAGGGGGCTGTGGATGCATGTGGAGGCAGGGGGCTGTGGATGCATGTGGAGGCAGGGGGCTGTGGATGCATGTGGAGGCAGGGGGCTGTGGATGCATGTGGAGGCAGGGGGCTGTGGATGCATGTGGAGGCAGGGGGCTGTGGATGCATGTGGAGGCAGGGGGCTGTGGATGCATGTGGAGGCAGGGGGCTGTGGATGCATGTGGAGGCAGGGGGCTGTGGATGCATGTGGAGGCAGGGGGCTGTGGATGCATGTGGAGGCAGGGGGCTGTGGATGCATGTGGAGGCAGGGGGCTGTGGATGCATGTGGAGGCAGGGGGCTGTGGATGCATGTGGAGGCAGGGGGCTGTGGATGCATGTGGAGGCAGGGGGCTGTGGATGCATGTGGAGGCAGGGGGCTGTGGATGCATGTGGAGGCAGGGGGCTGTGGATGCATGTGGAGGCAGGGGGCTGTGGATGCATGTGGAGGCAGGGGGCTGTGGATGCATGTGGAGGCAGGGGGCTGTGGATGCATGTGGAGGCAGGGGGCTGTGGATGCATGTGGAGGCAGGGGGCTGTGGATGCATGTGGAGGCAGGGGGCTGTGGATGCATGTGGAGGCAGGGGGCTGTGGATGCATGTGGAGGCAGGGGGCTGTGGATGCATGTGGAGGCAGGGGGCTGTGGATGCATGTGGAGGCAGGGGGCTGTGGATGCATGTGGAGGCAGGGGGCTGTGGATGCATGTGGAGGCAGGGGGCTGTGGATGCATGTGGAGGCAGGGGGCTGTGGATGCATGTGGAGGCAGGGGGCTGTGGATGCATGTGGAGGCAGGGGGCTGTGGATGCATGTGGAGGCAGGGGGCTGTGGATGCATGTGGAGGCAGGGGGCTGTGGATGCATGTGGAGGCAGGGGGCTGTGGATGCATGTGGAGGCAGGGGGCTGTGGATGCATGTGGAGGCAGGGGGCTGTGGATGCATGTGGAGGCAGGGGGCTGTGGATGCATGTGGAGGCAGGGGGCTGTGGATGCATGTGGAGGCAGGGGGCTGTGGATGCATGTGGAGGCAGGGGGCTGTGGATGCATGTGGAGGCAGGGGGCTGTGGATGCATGTGGAGGCAGGGGGCTGTGGATGCATGTGGAGGCAGGGGGCTGTGGATGCATGTGGAGGCAGGGGGCTGTGGATGCATGTGGAGGCAGGGGGCTGTGGATGCATGTGGAGGCAGGGGGCTGTGGATGCATGTGGAGGCAGGGGGCTGTGGATGCATGTGGAGGCAGGGGGCTGTGGATGCATGTGGAGGCAGGGGGCTGTGGATGCATGTGGAGGCAGGGGGCTGTGGATGCATGTGGAGGCAGGGGGCTGTGGATGCATGTGGAGGCAGGGGGCTGTGGATGCATGTGGAGGCAGGGGGCTGTGGATGCATGTGGAGGCAGGGGGCTGTGGATGCATGTGGAGGCAGGGGGCTGTGGATGCATGTGGAGGCAGGGGGCTGTGGATGCATGTGGAGGCAGGGGGCTGTGGATGCATGTGGAGGCAGGGGGCTGTGGATGCATGTGGAGGCAGGGGGCTGTGGATGCATGTGGAGGCAGGGGGCTGTGGATGCATGTGGAGGCAGGGGGCTGTGGATGCATGTGGAGGCAGGGGGCTGTGGATGCATGTGGAGGCAGGGGGCTGTGGATGCATGTGGAGGCAGGGGGCTGTGGATGCATGTGGAGGCAGGGGGCTGTGGATGCATGTGGAGGCAGGGGGCTGTGGATGCATGTGGAGGCAGGGGGCTGTGGATGCATGTGGAGGCAGGGGGCTGTGGATGCATGTGGAGGCAGGGGGCTGTGGATGCATGTGGAGGCAGGGGGCTGTGGATGCATGTGGAGGCAGGGGGCTGTGGATGCATGTGGAGGCAGGGGGCTGTGGATGCATGTGGAGGCAGGGGGCTGTGGATGCATGTGGAGGCAGGGGGCTGTGGATGCATGTGGAGGCAGGGGGCTGTGGATGCATGTGGAGGCAGGGGGCTGTGGATGCATGTGGAGGCAGGGGGCTGTGGATGCATGTGGAGGCAGGGGGCTGTGGATGCATGTGGAGGCAGGGGGCTGTGGATGCATGTGGAGGCAGGGGGCTGTGGATGCATGTGGAGGCAGGGGGCTGTGGATGCATGTGGAGGCAGGGGGCTGTGGATGCATGTGGAGGCAGGGGGCTGTGGATGCATGTGGAGGCAGGGGGCTGTGGATGCATGTGGAGGCAGGGGGCTGTGGATGCATGTGGAGGCAGGGGGCTGTGGATGCATGTGGAGGCAGGGGGCTGTGGATGCATGTGGAGGCAGGGGGCTGTGGATGCATGTGGAGGCAGGGGGCTGTGGATGCATGTGGAGGCAGGGGGCTGTGGATGCATGTGGAGGCAGGGGGCTGTGGATGCATGTGGAGGCAGGGGGCTGTGGATGCATGTGGAGGCAGGGGGCTGTGGATGCATGTGGAGGCAGGGGGCTGTGGATGCATGTGGAGGCAGGGGGCTGTGGATGCATGTGGAGGCAGGGGGCTGTGGATGCATGTGGAGGCAGGGGGCTGTGGATGCATGTGGAGGCAGGGGGCTGTGGATGCATGTGGAGGCAGGGGGCTGTGGATGCATGTGGAGGCAGGGGGCTGTGGATGCATGTGGAGGCAGGGGGCTGTGGATGCATGTGGAGGCAGGGGGCTGTGGATGCATGTGGAGGCAGGGGGCTGTGGATGCATGTGGAGGCAGGGGGCTGTGGATGCATGTGGAGGCAGGGGGCTGTGGATGCATGTGGAGGCAGGGGGCTGTGGATGCATGTGGAGGCAGGGGGCTGTGGATGCATGTGGAGGCAGGGGGCTGTGGATGCATGTGGAGGCAGGGGGCTGTGGATGCATGTGGAGGCAGGGGGCTGTGGATGCATGTGGAGGCAGGGGGCTGTGGATGCATGTGGAGGCAGGGGGCTGTGGATGCATGTGGAGGCAGGGGGCTGTGGATGCATGTGGAGGCAGGGGCTGTGGATGCATGTGGAGGCAGGGGGCTGTGGATGCATGTGGAGGCAGGGGGCTGTGGATGCATGTGGAGGCAGGGGGCTGTGGATGCATGTGGAGGCAGGGGGCTGTGGATGCATGTGGAGGCAGGGGGCTGTGGATGCATGTGGAGGCAGGGGGCTGTGGATGCATGTGGAGGCAGGGGGCTGTGGATGCATGTGGAGGCAGGGGGCTGTGGATGCATGTGGAGGCAGGGGGCTGTGGATGCATGTGGAGGCAGGGGGCTGTGGATGCATGTGGAGGCAGGGGGCTGTGGATGCATGTGGAGGCAGGGGGCTGTGGATGCATGTGGAGGCAGGGGGCTGTGGATGCATGTGGAGGCAGGGGGCTGTGGATGCATGTGGAGGCAGGGGGCTGTGGATGCATGTGGAGGCAGGGGGCTGTGGATGCATGTGGAGGCAGGGGGCTGTGGATGCATGTGGAGGCAGGGGGCTGTGGATGCATGTGGAGGCAGGGGGCTGTGGATGCATGTGGAGGCAGGGGGCTGTGGATGCATGTGGAGGCAGGGGGCTGTGGATGCATGTGGAGGCAGGGGGCTGTGGATGCATGTGGAGGCAGGGGGGCTGTGGATGCATGTGGAGGCAGGGGGCTGTGGATGCATGTGGAGGCAGGGGGCTGTGGATGCATGTGGAGGCAGGGGGCTGTGGATGCATGTGGAGGCAGGGGGCTGTGGATGCATGTGGAGGCAGGGGGCTGTGGATGCATGTGGAGGCAGGGGGCTGTGGATGCATGTGGAGGCAGGGGGCTGTGGATGCATGTGGAGGCAGGGGGCTGTGGATGCATGTGGAGGCAGGGGGCTGTGGATGCATGTGGAGGCAGGGGGCTGTGGATGCATGTGGAGGCAGGGGGCTGTGGATGCATGTGGAGGCAGGGGGCTGTGGATGCATGTGGAGGCAGGGGGCTGTGGATGCATGTGGAGGCAGGGGGCTGTGGATGCATGTGGAGGCAGGGGGCTGTGGATGCATGTGGAGGCAGGGGGCTGTGGATGCATGTGGAGGCAGGGGGCTGTGGATGCATGTGGAGGCAGGGGGCTGTGGATGCATGTGGAGGCAGGGGGCTGTGGATGCATGTGGAGGCAGGGGGCTGTGGATGCATGTGGAGGCAGGGGGCTGTGGATGCATGTGGAGGCAGGGGGCTGTGGATGCATGTGGAGGCAGGGGGCTGTGGATGCATGTGGAGGCAGGGGGCTGTGGATGCATGTGGAGGCAGGGGGCTGTGGATGCATGTGGAGGCAGGGGGCTGTGGATGCATGTGGAGGCAGGGGGCTGTGGATGCATGTGGAGGCAGGGGGCTGTGGATGCATGTGGAGGCAGGGGGCTGTGGATGCATGTGGAGGCAGGGGGCTGTGGATGCATGTGGAGGCAGGGGGCTGTGGATGCATGTGGAGGCAGGGGGCTGTGGATGCATGTGGAGGCAGGGGGCTGTGGATGCATGTGGAGGCAGGGGGCTGTGGATGCATGTGGAGGCAGGGGGCTGTGGATGCATGTGGAGGCAGGGGGCTGTGGATGCATGTGGAGGCAGGGGGCTGTGGATGCATGTGGAGGCAGGGGGCTGTGGATGCATGTGGAGGCAGGGGGCTGTGGATGCATGTGGAGGCAGGGGGCTGTGGATGCATGTGGAGGCAGGGGGCTGTGGATGCATGTGGAGGCAGGGGGCTGTGGATGCATGTGGAGGCAGGGGGCTGTGGATGCATGTGGAGGCAGGGGGCTGTGGATGCATGTGGAGGCAGGGGGCTGTGGATGCATGTGGAGGCAGGGGGCTGTGGATGCATGTGGAGGCAGGGGGCTGTGGATGCATGTGGAGGCAGGGGGCTGTGGATGCATGTGGAGGCAGGGGGCTGTGGATGCATGTGGAGGCAGGGGGCTGTGGATGCATGTGGAGGCAGGGGGCTGTGGATGCATGTGGAGGCAGGGGGCTGTGGATGCATGTGGAGGCAGGGGGCTGTGGATGCATGTGGAGGCAGGGGGCTGTGGATGCATGTGGAGGCAGGGGGCTGTGGATGCATGTGGAGGCAGGGGGCTGTGGATGCATGTGGAGGCAGGGGGCTGTGGATGCATGTGGAGGCAGGGGGCTGTGGATGCATGTGGAGGCAGGGGGCTGTGGATGCATGTGGAGGCAGGGGGCTGTGGATGCATGTGGAGGCAGGGGGCTGTGGATGCATGTGGAGGCAGGGGGCTGTGGATGCATGTGGAGGCAGGGGGCTGTGGATGCATGTGGAGGCAGGGGGCTGTGGATGCATGTGGAGGCAGGGGGCTGTGGATGCATGTGGAGGCAGGGGGCTGTGGATGCATGTGGAGGCAGGGGGCTGTGGATGCATGTGGAGGCAGGGGGCTGTGGATGCATGTGGAGGCAGGGGGCTGTGGATGCATGTGGAGGCAGGGGGCTGTGGATGCATGTGGAGGCAGGGGGCTGTGGATGCATGTGGAGGCAGGGGGCTGTGGATGCATGTGGAGGCAGGGGGCTGTGGATGCATGTGGAGGCAGGGGGCTGTGGATGCATGTGGAGGCAGGGGGCTGTGGATGCATGTGGAGGCAGGGGGCTGTGGATGCATGTGGAGGCAGGGGCTGTGGATGCATGTGGAGGCAGGGGGCTGTGGATGCATGTGGAGGCAGGGGGCTGTGGATGCATGTGGAGGCAGGGGGCTGTGGATGCATGTGGAGGCAGGGGGCTGTGGATGCATGTGGAGGCAGGGGGCTGTGGATGCATGTGGAGGCAGGGGGCTGTGGATGCATGTGGAGGCAGGGGGCTGTGGATGCATGTGGAGGCAGGGGGCTGTGGATGCATGTGGAGGCAGGGGGCTGTGGATGCATGTGGAGGCAGGGGGCTGTGGATGCATGTGGAGGCAGGGGGCTGTGGATGCATGTGGAGGCAGGGGGCTGTGGATGCATGTGGAGGCAGGGGGCTGTGGATGCATGTGGAGGCAGGGGGCTGTGGATGCATGTGGAGGCAGGGGGCTGTGGATGCATGTGGAGGCAGGGGGCTGTGGATGCATGTGGAGGCAGGGGGCTGTGGATGCATGTGGAGGCAGGGGGCTGTGGATGCATGTGGAGGCAGGGGGCTGTGGATGCATGTGGAGGCAGGGGGCTGTGGATGCATGTGGAGGCAGGGGGCTGTGGATGCATGTGGAGGCAGGGGGCTGTGGATGCATGTGGAGGCAGGGGGCTGTGGATGCATGTGGAGGCAGGGGGCTGTGGATGCATGTGGAGGCAGGGGGCTGTGGATGCATGTGGAGGCAGGGGGCTGTGGATGCATGTGGAGGCAGGGGGCTGTGGATGCATGTGGAGGCAGGGGGGAGCATGTGGATGCAGGGGCTGTGGATGTGGAGGCAGGGGGCTGTGGATGCATGTGGAGGCAGGGGGCTGTGGATGCATGTGGAGGCAGGGGGCTGTGGATGCATGTGGAGGCAGGGGGCTGTGGATGCATGTGGAGGCAGGGGGCTGTGGATGCATGTGGAGGCAGGGGGCTGTGGATGCATGTGGAGGCAGGGGGCTGTGGATGCATGTGGAGGCAGGGGGCTGTGGATGCATGTGGAGGCAGGGGGCTGTGGATGCATGTGGAGGCAGGGGGCTGTGGATGCATGTGGAGGCAGGGGGCTGTGGATGCATGTGGAGGCAGGGGGCTGTGGATGCATGTGGAGGCAGGGGGCTGTGGATGCATGTGGAGGCAGGGGGCTGTGGATGCATGTGGAGGCAGGGGGCTGTGGATGCATGTGGAGGCAGGGGGCTGTGGATGCATGTGGAGGCAGGGGGCTGTGGATGCATGTGGAGGCAGGGGGCTGTGGATGCATGTGGAGGCAGGGGGCTGTGGATGCATGTGGAGGCAGGGGGCTTGTGGATGCATGTGGAGGCAGGGGGCTGTGGATGCATGTGGAGGCAGGGGGCTGTGGATGCATGTGGAGGCAGGGGGCTGTGGATGCATGTGGAGGCAGGGGGCTGTGGATGCATGTGGAGGCAGGGGGTGTGGATGCATGTGGAGGCAGGGGGCTGTGGATGCATGTGGAGGCAGGGGGCTGTGGATGCATGTGGAGGCAGGGGGCTGTGGATGCATGTGGAGGCAGGGGGCTGTGGATGCATGTGGAGGCAGGGGGCTGTGGATGCATGTGGAGGCAGGGGGCTGTGGATGCATGTGGAGGCAGGGGGCTGTGGATGCATGTGGAGGCAGGGGGGCTGTGGATGCATGTGGAGGCAGGGGGCTGTGGATGCATGTGGAGGCAGGGGGCTGTGGATGCATGTGGAGGCAGGGGGCTGTGGATGCATGTGGAGGCAGGGGGCTGTGGATGCATGTGGAGGCAGGGGGCTGTGGATGCATGTGGAGGCAGGGGGCTGTGGATGCATGTGGAGGCAGGGGGCTGTGGATGCATGTGGAGGCAGGGGGCTGTGGATGCATGTGGAGGCAGGGGGCTGTGGATGCATGTGGAGGCAGGGGGCTGTGGATGCATGTGGAGGCAGGGGGCTGTGGATGCATGTGGAGGCAGGGGGCTGTGGATGCATGTGGAGGCAGGGGGCTGTGGATGCATGTGGAGGCAGGGGGCTGTGGATGCATGTGGAGGCAGGGGGCTGTGGATGCATGTGGAGGCAGGGGGCTGTGGATGCATGTGGAGGCAGGGGGCTGTGGATGCATGTGGAGGCAGGGGGCTGTGGATGCATGTGGAGGCAGGGGGCTGTGGATGCATGTGGAGGCAGGGGGCTGTGGATGCATGTGGAGGCAGGGGGCTGTGGATGCATGTGGAGGCAGGGGGCTGTGGATGCATGTGGAGGCAGGGGGCTGTGGATGCATGTGGAGGCAGGGGGCTGTGGATGCATGTGGAGGCAGGGGGCTGTGGATGCATGTGGAGGCAGGGGGCTGTGGATGCATGTGGAGGCAGGGGGCTGTGGATGCATGTGGAGGCAGGGGGCTGTGGATGCATGTGGAGGCAGGGGGCTGTGGATGCATGTGGAGGCAGGGGCTGTGGATGCATGTGGAGGCAGGGGGCTGTGGATGCATGTGGAGGCAGGGGGCTGTGGATGCATGTGGAGGCAGGGGGCTGTGGATGCATGTGGAGGCAGGGGGCTGTGGATGCATGTGGAGGCAGGGGGCTGTGGATGCATGTGGAGGCAGGGGGCTGTGGATGCATGTGGAGGCAGGGGGCTGTGGATGCATGTGGAGGCAGGGGGCTGTGGATGCATGTGGAGGCAGGGGGCTGTGGATGCATGTGGAGGCAGGGGGCTGTGGATGCATGTGGAGGCAGGGGGCTGTGGATGCATGTGGAGGCAGGGGGCTGTGGATGCATGTGGAGGCAGGGGGCTGTGGATGCATGTGGAGGCAGGGGGCTGTGGATGCATGTGGAGGCAGGGGGCTGTGGATGCATGTGGAGGCAGGGGGCTGTGGATGCATGTGGAGGCAGGGGGCTGTGGATGCATGTGGAGGCAGGGGGCTGTGGATGCATGTGGAGGCAGGGGGCTGTGGATGCATGTGGAGGCAGGGGGCTGTGGATGCATGTGGAGGCAGGGGGCTGTGGATGCATGTGGAGGCAGGGGGCTGTGGATGCATGTGGAGGCAGGGGGCTGTGGATGCATGTGGAGGCAGGGGGCTGTGGATGCATGTGGAGGCAGGGGGCTGTGGATGCATGTGGAGGCAGGGGGCTGTGGATGCATGTGGAGGCAGGGGGCTGTGGATGCATGTGGAGGCAGGGGGCTGTGGATGCATGTCATGCACCTGCAGAAGCCGATATGGTCCCGTTTGCGGTTGCAAGGGGGGGTGGGTGGCATTCTCAGGCGGGGGGTAGCAAGTTTAGTGGGGGGGTAGCAAGCTCAGTGGGGAGGAGGGGGGGATCTCAGTGGCGGGTGGGGGGGGATCTCAGTGGCGGGAGGGGGGGGAGCTCAGTGGGGGGGACGAGCTCAGTGGGGGGGGTGAGCTCAGTGGGGCAGGGGAGGAGAGTGAAGATCGGTGGAGAGGGAGAGGAGAGTGGGGAAGAGAGAAGTTAAGGGGATGGGAGGATGAGTGGAGGAATACAGGGGAAGCGTGAGGCAGGAGGAGGTGATGATGCTTAGGTGAGGATGAGGGGAGAGATGGTTAAATGCAAAAGGGAGCGTAGGCTGAGCGGGTAGAGAAGCAAAACGATCGCGTCAGCCTGACATGCCCGCCAGGGACTAACTCTTCGGTGGATAACGGGTTGTGGATCATCCTCTCCGTCGGAGAATTCATTTCATCGCCAGCGAGATTCGAACCCTGACCGTCAACTGAAAACGTGTAAGGCACTTCACACCACCTCACAGTTTAGCAAGGCAGGTAAGGGGGTGTATTCAAATAGCCCTCACATCGCTATTGCTATAATAGCCTTCAGTCGTAGCTATAAGGACCGCAACAAATACAAGATACTGGTGTACTCAAGGACTCCTCACAAAGCATTATGGTGCACTCAAGCTTCCTTAGACTCAAAAAGCTCAAGGTTCTCACCTTGGAATACCCTATGGCTCAAGGTTCTCACCTTGGAATACCCTATGGCTCAAGGTTCTCATTTTGGAATACCCTATGGCTCAAGGTTCTTGCACTGCAACCTGTAAGAACACTCTGATAACTCACAAACTCCTTAATTTGCCCACTGTGCGTTGTGGTGTGCATGGTGCCAGGAACAAGAAAGATCGTACCCAGTTGCTCTCTGCGGCTGCGCTGAACGCCGGCCCCACGTTCCCTTCATCATCACTCCCTCACTCTCTCCCTCACTCTCTCCCTCACATTCAATTCAATACACCCGTCCTTTGCGGCCTCGCCACTCCCTCCCCCTCTCTCTCCTTCCCCCTCTCTCTCCCTCATACCCTCCGCCAATCCTTCCCTCCAGCCCTCGCACTGCCCCCCTCACCTGCAGTTCAATGCATCCGTCTTTCACGGCGCCGCCACTCCCGAGCGCCACTTTCAGCTTCTTCAGCAGAGCTGCCACCTCAGCATCGCCGCCGGCCAATCGCAGCCCCTCCACCACCGTCACCGTTTTCCCGCCACGTCCGCGCCGCGTCGCCTCCACCGTTACCCCGCCACCTTCGCCGAAACGCGCTCTTTCCTCCTTGCTGGCTTCCGCTTTTCCCGGAAGGTGCGCTTTGGCTCGGCGCGCTTCCTCGCTTACCGCCTCCGCAGAGAAGGGGGGAGGAGCACAAGGGGGTGCGGCGGGCAGAGAAGGGGGGAGGAGCACAAGGGGGTGCGGCGGGCAGAGAAGGGGGGAGGAGCACAAGGGGGTGCGGCGGGCAGAGAAGGGGGGAGGAGCACAAGGGGGTGCGGCGGGCAGAGAAGGGGGGAGGAGCACAAGGGGGTGCGGCGGGCAGAGAAGGGGGGAGGAGCACAAGGGGGTGCGGCGGGCAGAGAAGGGGGGAGGAGCACAAGGGGGTGCGGCGGGCAGAGAAGGGGGGAGGAGCACAAGGGGGTGCGGCGGGCAGAGAAGGGGGGAGGAGCACAAGGGGGTGCGGCGGGCAGAGAAGGGGGGAGGAGCACAAGGGGGTGCGGCGGGCAGAGAAGGGGGGAGGAGCACAAGGGGGTGCGGCGGGCAGAGAAGGGGGGGATGGGAGGCTGGCCGGAAGGGAACGTGGGCAGAGGATCAGGTGCTCTCTCCTCTCCATTAGAGCTTGATGATTCAGCTGCGCGCAGATAGGAGGGGCGAAAGGGTTAGCAGAGAGAAGAGGATGAGGGCGGCAATGCTTGGGAGGGGGAGGGAAGGGGGGAAATGGCGATTGGAATGGCAATGGCGATGACGATGGCGCGAGACGGCGGTGATGAAGGGCGGAACTGGTAGGAGCTCTTTGCAGTCGCTCTGGAACTGATAACGAACGGACTCCTGGCGCGCACGACGCAGGACGGACCCCGTGGAGAAGCGCGACTCGCTGAGGGTGGGGCGCAAGGCGCACGAGACGAAGAGCAGGGGGGGGAGGGAGACGGCGGGCAGGCGGAAGGGCAGGGGGGATGAGAAACGAGAGGCGAATACAGAGGTAAAAAGGCACGGGGAAGAGAAAACGAGACCGAATACGAAACGCAAGGAGAAGGGGAAAGCGAGAGGAGAATACAGAGCAGAAGGGGAGGGGGAAGACGGGAGCGGAGGGCAGGGATGAGGAAGAGGCGGATAAAACAGGGAAAAAACGAGGAAAAAAATCACGCACACGGAAAGGCGCGCACGGAGCATTGCAGGAAGAAAATCGAGGGGAAGGCAGGCAGGGGGAAAGCGGCGGAGGGGCGAACTGAGGATAAGGAAGGTGCACTCGGAGCATCCAGGGGAAAAACCGACGGGTAAAGCGAGGCCAAGGAGATGGGGTTGGCGGGTGTACGGGGAGAACGGATTTCACGGGGATGAAGTTGGACGGTTGAAATGTAGGGTTTCGTTGATAGACGAATAAAATACTATAAGTACGGTACGGACGGAGTGGCGGAAGCAGGGTTGCGTGGAAGCAGCTCCTTGAATATAGCTGAGCGTGAATCGAGGGGGCTAACTAACGACTTGCGCAGAACGGTAGCTAGAATACGGGAAGTGTGAGCAACGAAGCACAAAGTGGCTTGGGTGCATCGTGCGCTCCTAGCGTACCAGAGTGGACCAGGCTCTCAGGACGCGTCACAATTGCAACACCGGCGAGGATCAAGGTCGCACACCGAAGCTGTGAACATCAATCTCGTCCGAGCCACATGTGTCGCGATCGTCCTCACGATCCTGATTTTTACGGGGTTAGAAACGTTTCGGAAAATTGTAAATGATTATGCTTGATTTGAGTACGGTGACAGATCGATCTGGAAGAGACATCTCTCTTGGTGACGTGACTCGAGTCTTAGCGAAGCTTTGCGGAATAAGGATACACAGGTCTACGAAGTACTGTACACCCCGAACGTGTTGCAATTGTGACGCGTCCTCAACCGTGTCTCCCCACACCCCCCTACTGTGTATCCCACCCACCCGTTCAACTCTTGATCCAACGGCTCAAACTCCAACCCTTCAACATTTTACCGGATTGGTTACGGTGATGCTGATGACGCAAGTTCATCTATTCTTTTCCCGTAGCCGTCAGATGTAGCATCGATGAGCGATCGATGGTGTGTGTTGCTCGACACATTCAGACTCGAGCGCATTTATCATCCATCCATACATGAACACGTGGGCAGACTCTTTTAGTCTCCACTCTTAGGGAAGGCACAGCAGAAGCGGGAGGAGAAATGGGAGGAAACACAATGTTTGACATTCTCAGATACGAATGTGTTAGTGGTACTGTACAATTGTTGTCTACGAGGTATATCGAACCCAATTGCATGTATTGCTATTTTGACCATGTCGGGTCTTGAATTTCGTTCCCTTCCAATACCTTCCTCCCTGGGCTCTATAAGTAGTTGGCTACATCTTTCAGGATGTCCTGAAACATTTGGTCGTTCTACCGTGTGGTCTCTTCCTTTTCTCACCAATCCTTCACATTCTCTCTTAGCCATGGTGTTTGTCGATAACAATCGGGATGCTGATGCGCCTGTTTCTGAGCTCAAGAAGAAGACAGACGCGAATGTAGGCTATGCAATTGTTGTATGTCTGTTTGAAGTTTCATGTATTCTAACCATGCGTAATATTTCACAGGACACGATTTCATTGCGTTTGGAGTTTATAAGCCCAGAAAGCAAACCTCAGGATGCAGGAGAACCAGAGGTACGCTTTCAAAAGTCGTATCATCTTTCTTCTTCATTCCAACGAATAGTCCTTTTTTGCAATGTTAGGGTTCACGTTCAAGAAAGCGCCGCCGTACTGTTAATGATACAACGAATGCTTGGCTTATAAAGAGAGCTAATACGCCGGAAAACCCAACACTAAAAGAGACATTTGTAAAATATCCGTCAACCTTGCGCAACAGTGGTGCTCGTTCAAGCAGTGCTGCTGATGCTAGTTGTGGTGGTACACGTACTCGTGCTCGTACTCGTTATTCTGTTGCTGGTACTCGTACTCGTGCACGCAAAGCTGCAGCTGCTGAAGCTGCCAAACGCGCTGCCACTGATCTTGGCCTGGCCGTTAAAGCTGCAAAACGTGCTGCCAATGATCTTCTTCTGGCCGCTAAAGCTGCTGACGCTGCTATTGCGACTCTTGGTGGTGGTAACTAATGCCTTTTTCCTGTTTGTGTGTTTTCTTTAGTTAATATTGTATATTGGATTCTGCTGACATCGATTATGACTCGCATTTTCAAAGGGGTTTCAAACTTTTCAGTAAAAAAATACATAACCAAACAAATTGTGTAAAATAGGTAAATTGATATAATTGAGGCATTTTTGATTTCTTTGTTTTAGTTTACTACCATGTTCTTCCAACTAGCTTTCTTTAAATGCTTCGCATTGAACTGAGTAGTAGTGGACCGTGCTATTGTAGTGAGGAGGCAATTGGAAGAGACATAGGAAGCGCCAGACCAGAGTCAGGGCCCAAAATTGGTTTAGGCCTACCCTTACGAATCAGGGTACCAGCCCCTCCATAGGCAGACCCCTAGGGTAAAAAATCTCATACCCTGTTTTCAGCAGGGTAACTCTGCCACTAGCCTGATTCGAGCAGGATAGTTTTAGGCTAATCCTGGTTTTGTGTCTATTTTGAGAGTTTCCTTACTTTTGGTGACATATTCAAGTTTTCCTTATACAGTCCTTGAAATCCACGCACGCCAGGCCCTACGATATCAGGATTTTTGTCAAATGTTGAACATTGATATGATAGGTTGTAGTGAGTTGCACTCTAGGGGGTACAGTTTCTAGGGTTGCTTATTTGTACCCCACTCGTTTCTATTCCCAACATTCCGTTGCTAACCACTCTTGAGATGGTATCACGAGCAGGACCGTTCCTAGCCCGTTCCTAGCCTAGTGTTCACCCTCCGCGCCCTCCGCGCCCTCCGCGCTTAGCTCGCACCTCCGCACCCATTGTGCCTCCGCGCCTAAACCGCGCCACTCCACCCTCCGCGCCTAAACCGCGCCACTCCACCCTCCGCGCCTAGCCCGCGCCCTGCCCCTAGCCCGCGCGACGCCCGTAGGCTCTGCCCCAGCCCGTCGCGACGCCCGTAGGCTCTGCCCCAGCCCGTCGCGACGCCCGTAGGCTCTGCCCCAGCCCGTCGCGACGCCCCTAGGCTCTGCCCCAGCCCGTCGCGACGCCCGTAGGCTCTGCCCCAGCCCGTCGCGACGCCCGTAGGCTCTGCCCCAGCCCGTCGCGACGCCCGTAGGCTCTGCCCCAGCCCGTCGCGACGCCCGTAGGCTCTGCCCCAGCCCGTCGCGACGCCCGTAGGCTCTGCCCCAGCCCGTCGCGACGCCCGTAGGCTCTGCCCCAGCCCGTCGCGACGCCCGTAGGCTCTGCCCCAGCCCGTCGCGACGCCCGTAGGCTCTGCCCCAGCCCGTCGCGGCGCCCGTGCGCCCTGCCCGTCGCCCCAGCCTTCGACCTAGCCCGTATTCCCACCGTCAAACCGCCCTCCCCGCCCATTCCCACCGTCAAAACCGCCCTCCCGCCCATTCCCACCGTCAAAACCGCCCTCCCGCCCATTCCCACCGTCAAAACCGCCCTACCCGCCCATTCCCACCGTCAAAACCGCCCTCCCCGCCCATTTCCACCGTCGCAAACTCCCCCCCCGCCCCTCTCTTCCTGTTACCCACCCTTGGCACGCGCCCTAGCCCCGCCACCGCCTTGTGCGCGGGGCCCTCCCCAGCTCTACTGACACTGGTCATTTCCTAGCGGCTGGCAGCCGCTCTCTCTCGCCGCCCGCCTAGGTTCGAGCCGTTTAGCCGCTAGTATCGCGCCCCTAGCCGTTGTAGCTGGAGATCCTCCGTTTCACGCCTAGCCTATGTCACTCAGTGCTCCTAGCCTCTCACTCCGCCGTTCTCCCTCCTGGCGCTCCGTAGGTTTCCTCCTCGTTCTTAGCTCAGCCTCTGCCGAGCTCCAGCCGCCTCTAGCATGGCATCAGTCATGGAGTCTCGTCGCCTCCGTTTCGACGCGGAGGGACGCCCGATAGAGTTTAGCACCTGGCAGCGCCAGACCACGCGCTTCCTCACCAGCCAGCGGCAGGACGGCGCCACTCTGTGGGCTCACGCGTCTGGTGCCCTACAGGCCCCCCCGTCCCCCGCCGCCCTGCCGACCGCCCCGGAGCCGACCCCTACGGCCCAGGCGGACTACGACCGTCGGGTCCTGGCCAGGGACGTGTGGCTCTCGCGTGACGCAGCCGCCGCTCTCACTCTGTCGGAGCTTCTCCCCCCGACTGAGGCCGCCCACTTTGACCAGGTGGAGACTGCACAGGGGGTTTGGGAGGCTATTATTGCTCGCTACTCCACCCCCTCCTCTGCCTCCCTCAGTCGCCTCCTCATGCCGTTTGTGTTTCCCGACCTAGGCTCGTTTGCGACTGTTTCCGACCTAGTGACTCACCTCCGCTCGCTTGACGCCGGTTTCCGCGCTGCCTGTACCGACGCACAGCTTCTTGTTGCTCCCCCCCCCATGTGGCTCACTGTTCACTGGTTAGTCACCCGCCTCCCTGACCGCCTTGCCACTGCCCGCGACGCGCTTCTTCAGAAGCACCCCACTGAGCTCACTATCGACCTCCTAGCGACTGCTCTAGGGACCATCGAGAGCAGTCTCCTCACCGTTGCCTCCGCCACTGATGCGGTGGCCCCCCGTCTCTTTGCGGGGTGTGCCGCCCCTCAGCTTCCCACTTTCACCGCTACCCGCGCTTCTGCTGCTGTGTCGGTCTCTGAGGACACTGCTGCCGTTTCTGCCGCAGACTGGCAGAAACGGGGCAAGAGTGGCAAGAAGGGCGGGAAGGGGGGAGGTGGGGGCGGTGGAGGCGGCGGTGGAGGTGGCGGTGGAGGTGGGAGCGGCGGTGGTGGCGGAGGCGGCGGCGGCGGCGGTGGTGGTGCACCAGGGGGAGGGGGCCTTGGAGGAGGTGCAGGACAGACAGGCCCACCCACAGGTGGTGGCCCGACCGGTGGGGGCGTTGCCCCCCAGCAGCAGCAGCCACAGCAGCACCAGCCACAGCAGGGACAGCAGCAGCAGCTGGGACAGCAGCAGCAGCAGGCACCGCAGCAGTTCCAGCAGTGGGGGCCCCCGCTGCAGTGGGGTCCGCAGCAGCACTGGGGTCCCCCGCCGCAGTGGGGTCCGGGAGGCCCTGGGAGCACCGGCCGCAGCAGCAGCTCTTCCAGCTGGGCCCCTCGCCC